GCCCTGCGCTCACAGTCACTGTCTGCCAGGGCGGGCAGCCCGCGGCACGTGGTCACAGGTCACAAGCTGTAGGGCGTGCTTTACTTCTGAATGATAATGTCCTTAGGCCAGAGTATTCAGCTTGTGTGTAACTAGCATAATCTTAGAATTAGGCAAGACTGTTCAGCTTGCACGTTAGCCTCATCTTAGAATTAAAACAATCAGGATGGTCTGTGGGTCTAGGCATTTCCCTTTTCCCTTTTGGTTAAGTTTTTATTTAACAGGAACTTTGAAAACTGACATACAGTTCTAAGTAAAGGTATAAATAATGGTTTAAGACTGTGAAAGAATGAACTGAGCACATAAAGTTTTAAAAACCAGAATGACCGAGGAATAGATAAATTGATCAGTGGAACTGAATAGAGAGCCCAGAAATAGACCCACACAAATATGCCGGCTAGATTTTGACAAAGGTGCAAAAGCAGTTTGATGGAGGAAGGACAGCTTTTTGAACACATGGTGCGGGAGTAGTTTCCGCAGGCAAAATGAAAGAAATGAACCTCGGTGGAAACCTCACACCTTGAGCAGCAATTGATTTAAAATGGATCACAGATTGCAACATAAAATGTAAGACTGTAAAACTTTGGGATGAAAACACAGGAGAAAACCTGTGGGACCTGGGGCTAGGCAGAGCCTTCTGAGACGTCACGCCAACAGCATTATCCGTGAAAAATAAAAGAGAGCGTGGACTCAATCGAGATTAAAAACTTACGCTCCTTGAAAGACCTGTTAGGAGCTGAAAAGAAGCGACCGACCAGGAGAAACTGCAAACCACATATCTGATAAAGGACTAGTGGAATGTCTAGAAGAAAGACCTCTCAAAACTCAACAGTGGAAAGTCAAACAGTCCAAGTGGAAAGTCGGCAGAAAGCAGAAACAGCTCTTTTACCGGAGAGGAGAGGCGGCTGGTGAGTGAGCGCGTGAAAAGGAGCTCAGCAGCGCTAGCCAGCAGGGAGACGAGGACAGGAGACAGCTGGACACAGCAGGGACCCTCCAGATGCCGGCGGGACGCGGAGACCCCGGGCCTCGCGCCGCTGCTGGTAGGCGTGTAAGACGGGGCAGCGGCTCTGGAAACAGATCGGAAGCATTTCTCGCCGTTAAAATGTCCTCACCGTGTGGCCCAGCAAGCACGTTCTTGGGCACTTATCCCAGAGAAATGGAAACTCATGTTCACACAGAACCTCCACATGAATGGCCATGGCCGCTTTGTTTGTAATGACCAAACCTGCAAACACCCCGAAGGCCCCTGTCTGGGTGAAAGGTTAAACATGCGGGTGTGCCCCTAGGCACATGCTTGGGCCTGGCCGCCTGGGAGGTGTCAGCAGAGGTGGCTCAGAGGTCCCACGCCCCATGCTCCCACCTCTGTGACATCCTCCGCGTCCCTCCGAGCGGTAGACAGGGAGCAGGTTAGCGGGTGCGCTGGGGAGGGAGGGTGGGCGTGTCCGGGAGGCAGCACGACAGGCGCACGTGGAGACTGGTGCGATCTGAACGAGGCCCGGGGTTGGTGCCAGCGGGGTCCCCGTGTCGCTTTCCCGCCCTCGGTGTCACGCTGCCGCTTACACAGGATTCCCAGAGAAGCAGAAGCAGTAGGAGGGGTGTGTGTGGGGACAGCCAGCACCCAGTCTAAGGGGCTTCCCACTCGGAATTGGCTCACACGGCTGTGGAGGCAGCCAAGCATGTGCACAGTCTGTGTGGCAGGTGGACAGGCAGGGGGCATCGTCACCAGGTGGCACCCCATGGGCAGGAGCTGTTTGGAGTCTCCAAGATCGGGGACAGCCTAAACTGCCTTTTATTATTATTTTTTTAAATATTTAATTTATTTATTTAGTTTGTCCATGTCACGCAACCTTTTCTTATTTTTTTTTTAAATATTTAATTTATTTATTTAGTTTGTCCATGTCACGCAACCTTTTCTTATTATTTTTTAAATATTTAATTTATTTATTTAGTTTGTCCATGTCATGCAACCTTTTATTATTATTTTTTTAAATATTTAATTTATTTATTTAGTTTGTCCATGTCACACAGCATGTGAGATCTTAGTTCCCCAACCGGGGTCGATCCTGTACCCCCTGCAGTGGAAGCGCAGAGTCCTAACCACTGGACCGCCAGGGAAGCCCTTAAACTGCCTTTTAAAGCTCTCACCCGATCAGGCCAGGCCCACCCAGGGTGATCTGTCTCTCGAGTAATTTACCATCAACCAACTGGGACTTTCTATCACATCTGCAAAGCCCCTTCCCAGCAGCACCCAGAATCGTGTCTGACTGGGTACCTGGGGCTGTGATTCGGCCTTGGCAGGACACTGACGTGCTGTGACAGTTGCCCCGTACGGACCCTCAGGATAACTACTGCTGTCTTCTTTTTTTTTTTTTTTTTTTGCGGTACGCGAACCTCTCACTGTTGTGGCCTCTCCCTTTGCGGAGCACAGGCTCCGGACGCGCAGGCTCAGCGGCCATGGCTCACGGGCCCAGCCGCTCCGCGGCATGTGGGATCTTCCCGGACCAGGACACGAACCCGTGTCTCCTGCATCGGCAGGTGGACTCTCAACCACTGCGCCACCAGGGAAGCCCTGCTGTCTTAACGTGATGTGGATGTTCCATAATTTTTGAAAAACAAAATATTAAGTTGTACAACTTGAGGTTGACGTAATTGCATTAGTGGAAAGGTGTATTTTCTGGAATATTAATATTGGTATTTAAAAACAGATTCATTGCTCACTTAAATGTTTCTGTTATAATCTAAATACCATCATCCATTAAAAACAAGTCCCCTGATGAATAAGCTTTGGACCGTCAAATTTTACATCGTCCCTTTTGCTTTTTGAACTTTCTTTCCCACTTCATTTCCTTCACAAGATTTTATCCTGTCAGCCAGGCTGGTGCATTCCTGTGCAACAGAAATACGGATAGAAATTGAAGCTGAAAAATGTATCTACTGTAACCGTGAGGCCTGGAGGGTTAAAAAAAAAAGCTCTTCTGGATTGAGGTCTCATTACAGTTCTTAGTACACAGTTGAACAAAACAGGGTAAATTATTACCAGTTTATAGTTAACAATGCAGTGTTGAGAATTTACCCTTGAGATGGATGGGGTTTAGTGTTAGTTAATTCCTGAATCTCTGGACGGTTATGAGTAATCTATCACTTAAAATGACGCAGGGTTCAATGTTGGTTCCATTTCTGTTTTCAGTTTTTATAGTTTGAAGTTCTGAGAAGCTGTGTTTACATAAATAAATCTGTGGAAGATGGAGGAGGTCCTCATTTCTTGCAGGTGTGTGCCAGCAGTCTTAGTGGTCTGTCATCACAGATTACTTTGATTATCTGTGAGCTGAAACCCTAAGTAGGTCCTGCGTGCGCTTTGTCAGAGGCGAGTGGTAAGGAGTGACCCCCGCAGAGCGCCTGCTGTCTTACGTCTGGATGGACGGGGTGCCTGAATGTGATTGCGGGGAGGCTTTGTGAAAGGGAACAACCACACTGGCCAGAGGTGCTCTCCTGGGGCATCATCTTTAGGACATAGAACGTTCTGGAAGGAGGGCGTCTGGGAATTGAGGCCCTGCGGGATCTGCACACCGAGGGGCCCCGGACGGTCAGGTGCCCCGGGGCTCCCTGTGCTCCAGCTTGAAGCTGGTTGTCTCAGACCAGCATTTCCTTGGTCTTAAGGTCCTTTAGGAAACAGAGGTGTGTTTAGTCTAACGACTTTGCCGGATGTTGGCGTGAATCCATTTTAACCTGTTTATTTCCGGCAGACATCTCAGACCTTGAATGTGCTCGTGTCCATCGTGATGTCCTATCGGGGTGAGAGGGAACACCTTTGTGTGGGTACCCTGTGTGTGACCTCGGTACCTGGCCACTTGTGGTGCCTGACCTGTGGGTAGGTGGTCAGGATCTGGTGGGTTAGTTCAGGTGTCACTGATGATTAAGTAGCACGGCTGAGAAAATGCTGACGCCTTTGAGTGGAATGCAGGCGATTATGCTTCTTTTTTAGGAAAATATCCTGTGGTCCTGCCATTCACTTCCGCATGACACGGTGCCATTTGTGCCTCTGCTTTTGGGGACATTTAACAGGGTGTGGCTGGGACAGGGGCTGGCTTCTCATGGGTGCCTTTGGGTTCATGGGCTTTCCTCCTGTAAAAGCAGGGTTTCCCCGACTTGGAGTTTGGAGAGAGAGATCCAGGCATGACATTGCTCTCAGGTAACACTGCTGTACATCTCGAGTGCCTGTTCTTTCTGCACAAAGCACGGCGGGAAGCGCTGAGGGCTGGAAGGTTAATGAGCAAAAAATCTTGACGACTGTGCTTAGAGACGAGCCACTGGCTCCCGCGTGTTTAAACACGTGTCTCAAAAAATAAAAAAATAAATAAACACATGCCTCGCTCCGGAAAGAGCCCCCGGGGGGGCACAATTCTTTTGTAGCATCGTTTCCTTCGAAGCAAAGTCCCCGGACCCTTGGCTGTAGTTCCTGCACTGGCCCAGCAGAACCCAGAGGTCAGTGCCCGGCGGTTCCCCCTCAGCCCCTCCGCAGGTGTTCGCCCCTTTCTGTCATGATACTCACATCCTGGGATGGAACTGATAAGCACAGTGGTCACGAAAGCCCAGATTGCACGTGGGAATTCGCTGGATGCAGTGAGTAAGTCTCAAGCTGCTTTTCATGCAGACCTGCTCCTTCAGAAACCTTCCTGCACAGTGACAGCTGTGACACCTCTGTCTCTTCTCTGTAAACATGTAAATATTTGTAACCCGACTCTCCCGGCAGTGCCAACAAGGAGCAGAGCTAGACTCTCCATTAAGAAGCCCAGCCCCGGCTCGCACTTTGCCCGGTGTCACCCGTGCACGTAGCGCAGCCCTGCCGGGGCCTCCCCTCTGGAGCTCGGGGCGTGGGCGCTGACTTTTGATGACTCTGTGCTCTGACAATGAACGCTGTCGTGTTAAGGTCTTCTTTTCTCTGTGATTCTTTTGTTCCCTAGCGTCGTCCCCCAGACTACAGTAATTCTCAACAGTGATCGGCAGAACGCCGTTGTAGCCAAGATGGAAGACCCCCTGAGCGGCAGGGCACCGGATCCCCTGGAAAATATCATTAGCAAGTCAGTAGCACGACACCCCACCTCTCACCGCCACCGCTGGGGCCCCGGGGACAGGGCGGCGTCCTGGGGCGCCCGTGTCGTTGGGCCCAGGGTTCTCCGCGGCCAGGGTCTGGGGAGGACGGCCTGGCCTGTGTCCACCGCCGTGCGTGCCGGCGGGAGGTACCCTGTGTGCTCACCACGATACGCGGATCCCGCCCTCTCACCTCACTCCCATCTGTCTTGTCTGTCCGAGCATGTCGGGTCGGCGACGTCCCCTCTGGTTGGTGAAGTGGCGGAGGCGTTTCGAGGTGGTGCCTTTTCCACCCCCTTTTTCTTTGGAGACGCTTTGGCTGTACCCTGGGTCAGAGGCGGGAGTGCGTGGAGGGCACCATCGCCCCTCGTGTGCTGGCGCCCCGCCGGCGTCGGCCCCACCGCGCTGCTTCCCGGCGAGTCTCGCAGGCCCTCCTGCAGCCGGTCCCGCTTCTACCTGGCTGTAGCCCAGGTCCCCAGGGCCCCAGACCCCAAGCAGACTGGCCGCGGGAGGTGGGTGCGGACGCTCCGGGCCGAGGCCGTGGGCCGGCAGAGCAGCAGAGGGTCCGTGTGCCTCGTGCCCGCGAGGGCGGAGTCGTGGCCAGGTCCGGAGCGTTTAGCGAGGTCCAGCCCCCAGGATGGAGCCCCCCGGGGTTTGCCTCAGCAAGCAGGGACCTCGCGCTGCTTCCCCTTCCCCGTGCGCGGCAGCATCTCGAAGGAAGTCGAAAAGGTCATTCAGAAGGCAGTAGCGTGCCTCCGGGTAATGGAGCCCGTTTCGGAGCTGGCTGGTGTCTGGTTTCCTGGCCGTGCCTTACTGCGTTGTATCGGGGTCCCTTGTGGTGCTAAGGATGCCCCCCAGGAGATCCTCGACTGGCTTTTTTAGCCCCCTCGAGCGGTTTCTGGCAGTGGGCTAGTTGGGAGTGAGAGCTGCGTCTTCACAGGCCGGGTCATTTCTAGGACATCTCTCGGGACGGAGTGGATCGGTGCAGTCAGTCTGGGTCTGCAGACATACTTTCTCTCACTCAGCCTTTCCTTTGACACGGCCTCAATCTCACCCTGATTCAAACGTCAGCGTTTTGTAGGGCTACCTCCATGATCGGAAGGGAGCGTTCTAGGCCTTGAGTCACAGCGGGTTGTGATTTCACTTCTTTTGTGACGTAAACATGTGTTTAAACGTTCCAAGGTTCATGCAGTTTCTTGGAGCCGCAGGCTGTCTCCTGCTATTAATCTGCGTAGAAAGAGCTGAGGGAAGGCTGGTGGCCCAGTGCGTGTGCAGAGGTAGCTTCTGTGAGACGTAAAGGGGAGAACGTCGGGGTACAGAACCATCTCTGCGTGTTGCTGTGCTGCTCTCACCACACTGCTGGTGTCTCTGTTTCCCGCGCAGCGCGGTGCCCGGGCGTCGGCAGAACACCATCGTGGTGAAGGTGCCAGGTCAGGAGGACAGCCACAATGAGGACGGGGAGAGCGGGTCCGAGGCCAGCGACTCCGTTTCCAACTGTGGACAGTCAGGAAGTCAGAACATCGGCAACAACGTCACCCTCATCACCCTGAACTCGGAAGGTGCGTCCTCGAAGCTGCTCCTCTTCTCCGCGTGGACGGTAATGGGCGTGCCGCGGCTCTTGAACAACTCGGGCTGAAACTGCGCGGGTCCATGACACGTGGACTGTTCACTAGTAGTTGTTACAGCGTTGTACGGTCTGCACACGGGGAGTCGTGAATATGGGGGCGCTGCGTTCACGGGGGGCCCACTAGCAGTTACGTGTGGATCCCTGACCACATGGAGGGTCGAAACCCCCCACATTGTTCCGGTGTCAGCTGTAATTTTTCCCCCTGCTTTTTAGAAAAGTAATATATGTTTATTGTTTTTGAAAGATGCTAAGATATGAAAATGACAAAGAAAGTACAAATAACCGGAGACATTCCTCATCCAGAGATCTCTAGAAACCCTCTGGGCTTTTTCTGCGTTAACATACACGCTAGATTTACGATTTTGTAACTCGCTTTTCCCCATTGCATAGTAGAAATCTCTCCACGTTGATGCAGATTTACATAATCGCTTTCAGTCAGGTGTGCTTATTGAATCTAGCTCTGGAGGCTTTCCGATGATGGACAGCTATAACTTGAGAGGCAGCGGTTGGCTCACCTGTCTGACCACAGCTCTGTCCTGTGTCTCTGATGAGGGCCTCACGCAGACTCAGAGGGGCCACACGTCCACGTTGAGTCCACGCTGCCCCTGCCCACTGTGATATAGGGGGAGCATCCTTTCTCCTGCTGGGTCTGGGGTCCACTCTCACCTGGCTCTGGGTCCAGGTGGTGGCCTGGCATGCCCTCCAGAGGGTTCCTGCCACCTGGCAGCTTTGCCCTTCTCTTGAGGGCTGAGTCAGTGTTTCCCAAAATAGCGCAGAGAGAGAGGAGGGAACTGGGCAGATGTAGCATCGTGTCACTGGGTCCTCAAGCCTATAATTTGTTAACTAGGAAGGGCTGGTGAGGTGTTTCTGCTTCTCTGTCTGAGTCGTTGATTTTTCCTAAGAGCACAGTATAGATTTTTCTACAAAGATTTTCCTGTTAGACTTGTTACCACATCTGAAGCATTGAAAATGTTTTCCTTAAAACGTCATTCACCTCTAACATAAGTTGCTAGGGTTGAGATGGCAGAGCAGGGAACAGAGAAAAAGCAAACTGGGCAACTTAGAAAAAAAATTGAGGTCTAATTTCCATTCCATAAAACTGACCATTTTAAAGCAGACGTGCCGGTAGAGGGTGCACATCACCCCTGTCTAATTGCAGGGTATTTTTACCACCCCAAAGAGACCCCACAGCAGTACCCCCGTGCTCCAGCCTCCAGCCCTGCCACCTCTGATCTGCTTCCTGTCTGTGGGGTTGCCTGTTGTGGATGTTTCATACGAGTGGAAGCACGTGGTGCCCTCCCGTTGTACATGCACCAGTCCTTCATTCCTCTTTATGGCCGGATGACGGCCCATCTAAGTGTGTAGATAGGCCACACTTTGCTGATCTGTCACCCGTTGATGGACGCTGACTGTCACAAACAGTGCTGCTCTGAACGTTTGTGTGTAGGTTTTTGTGCGTGTCTTCATTTTTCTTGGGCTGATACCTGGGAGTGGAATTGCTGGGTCAGGGCAGCTAGTCTCTCTACTCATTAGACTTGAGGAAAAGAGGGTTGCTCCTGATTTCATCTTAGTGGATATCGAATGAAAATTACATCTGTAACAAATGCAGAGAAAGCTAATTGTTCTTATTCTTTTTCCATGTGGATTTTGGGTAAATACTCCTGTAGGTCTAGCTGTGTACTTTAGGCCTAACTTGTTTGGTTTAAACGGCCTCAGCTCTGAAACATGACATTGGATAATTTGGGGGGAGTCTGGGGTTATCATAAAAACCAAAAATGTCATCTTTTAAGTTTGTATGCCCTAATGTGATCTGATTAATGTGAAGTATATTTCAGGGGGGACTGCAGACTGACTCTAACGTGAGCTTACAAAAAGGGATCCGAATTTGAGCTTATTAGCATTAAAATCTGTAGGGAAAAAAGTACAGGTTTTCTGTGTGTCTGAGTGCAAGCTTGCTGCCACTGTCCTCGGGAATGTGTCCCCCCCCACCCCCCTGCAGTTCTACGTCCTGAGAATGTCAGGTTGAGCCACCTCGGTTGGCACGGGGTTTGGGAAGATGGAACAGAGACCGCCGGTGTGTGCACGTAAATGTGGGCAAAAGAGCTAATCTGCGAACGTCTCACACGGGCCTGCAGTGGCGTCCTGTGGCCAACATCCGGTGACATTTATGATGCACTGAGAGTCGGATTCGCTGCTTCCCTCCCGCGTCCTCCCGGGACCAGAATAGCTTGCTCGACTGGGGAGCGTCCAGTCAGCGACTTCCTATCAGAGAAATGGGGATAAGATGTAGGCGCTGAAGGGCTGGAGGCTCGGCCTTAGGTGGAGTCGTCTTACTTCCTGATAAGAGCCCAGGGCTGCACGTAGACAGACGTTCTTCTCTTCTTATAAAAGTATTTCTGTGCCTGATTGCAGAGAACCGCAGAGTTTCAGAATGGCTATTTCTTAAGAATTCCGCATTGTCTGCACGAATTGGCATGCCGTCCCCTAGCAGATCTTTATTATACTGGAGCGGTGCCAGGGGATTTACCCGTGCGTTAATCGGCAGTGCTGGCTGTCACGGCACCAGCTCCGTTTGGATCAGAGAAACGCTGACGGTGGGGAGCGGTGAGCCGCAGGCTTAGCTCTTAGCTCTTGCCCTTCTCTTCCCCGGCACAAGGCCTTCGTTTACCCCGATCTTTGGGAAGTACTGAAAGTGTGTGGGGTTCATCGTTCCAAGATTAAGCTGGTGAACTGAGTCAGAGAAACAGATTAGCCAAAATGGACCAAAAGTGGGATCTGTGCATTAATGAAGGGATTTAGTTAGATTCTTAATAAAGAGTTTAATTCCTGCTGTTTATGCATTTGATAATTCTTACAGAACTTGACTAATCCTGCATGTAAAACGTTTGGTACTTGCCTTTAATAGGGAAGTACTTCTGTTATAATTGAATTATTGTCAGAAATCAGCCTTGTATATGTTGCAAAGCCCCGAGTCAATGAAGTGATTTATACTCACGTATCTGTGAGTATAAATAGATACAGATACTCACATATCTGTGCTGGGGTGGGGGGCAGGGCAGGGAGATAAAGTCTGGGAGGAGCAGGTGGTTCAGCAGGGCTGTCAGGCACAGCACGGGGACCCTGGGGCACCTTCTCCGGGGTGTTGCTGGGCTGTGGGCTACGAAACAAGATCAGTACAAATTGCTGTGTTCACGAAACTGCAGCTGTACGTGTGCTGAGGAGGAAGTTTAGCCAGCAACATTTCTTGAGAATTTGTTCACATAATTTATTTTACGTGAACTTTTCTTAACACAAATTGTTTTTATTTTAAAGATTTGTTTTGATGTGGACCATTTTTAAAGTCTTTAGTGAGTTTGTTACAATATTGGTTTTGTTTTATGTTTTGGTGTTTTGGCCGCGAGGCATGTGGGATCTTAGCTCCCCGACTGGAGGTCGTACCTGCACCCCCTGCATTGGAAGGCAAAGTCTTAACGACTGGACCGCCAGGGAAGTCCCTGCATAAATTCTTTGTGTATTTGGTAACGTTAAAACGCATTTTAGCAGCCGTCATAAGTAGGCTGCTGACAAGAGCAGGATTAAGAGAGAGGATTAGTGTAACAACGTCAGTGGGTCTTTGTGCAGGACCCCGTAGTGAATGGTCACTGATCCCAGATCAGAGGAGAGTGGCCGGAGGGTGGCGTCACAGCATCCCTCGCCGAGTCTCGGGTCGGCATGTGGGACCCAGCATGGGGACACCCCGTCTCTGCCCAGCGCTCTTGCTCTTTCTGCCAAGTGTCCTTGGACACTCGCTCTTGTCACGGTTGAGCTCATGACGACTGTGCTCAGCGGGCGGGATTCCCCGGAAGAGGCTGGGCTCCGTCCAAGGTGTGGCCACGTGGTTCTGTGGGATGGGCCCAGCCTCGGGGGATGGAATTGGCCGCAGTGCCAGAGACGTTTGTGTTTTCCCTTTCCCTCCAGCACTATCCTGTATGTAACCTAACGCTTTCGAAGTCCCAGTTTAAAAACCCCAAATTGTCGATCTGTCCATAGCTTGAAGGTGCCACGTCAGTCCCAACGGAGCAGAGGCGCTTGGGCTCACTGTGTCTGAAGCCAGGAGGCAGCTGTCGGGCTCTGCGGCTGGTTGGAGCGTTCCCGACTCACTGCAGGCGCCACCCGTGAATGGGGCTCACAGTCAGGGTGGAAACACCTTAATTCACAAGGGCTCAGAAACAGGCGACAGCTTCCGAGGACGGAGTGTGGTCCATGCTGAGAGGCGGCCCACAGGGCCTGTTCTGGAAAGCCTCCTTGAGCCCCTTCCCGGGGCCACTTGGTCCCCCCCACCCCCAGCCCGCACCTCACATGTAGAGAACTTCGTAACCAGCTTGGGCAGCCTTTATAAAAGCCCAATGGAAACACAGCCTGATCCCTGCTCGTGGGCACGAGGTGTCCTGTGAGGCTGGCCCAGAGGTGCTGGAGCCGGCCTCGAGGACCTGACCTCACGTGACCCCCTGGGCCGTGTGTGGACACCCCGTTCACCTCAGAGCCTGCGTCGTCACCATCCCTTGGGTGGAGACTGAAACGCCTCCCTGGTGGTCCCCTCTCGTGGCTGCAGAGACCAAGCCTGTTGTGAGTGATCGCCGAGGGGGACTGGCGGCCAGGGCGTCTGGGAGCCAAGGCAGCAAGTGTCCGAGTGGCCCATCCTGGGGGCCCTTCCCTCCATCACAGCTGCCCGCACAGGACTTAGAGGCTTCTGGGGCCCCCTGGACGGAACACCGGCGTCTTTGGAGAGAGCCCGGGCGCTGGGCTGGGCTTGGTTCCGGGGTGGCATTTGGAGTGCTGGTGACCTCCCAGCCTGCGTGACGTGTGTGCAGGGCATGCAGGCTGCTGTCGGAGGACTCGCAGTTTGCCCTTTGCTTTGGAGGAGTGGTGACGCCTTGTGTCGCGTTTTCTCAGAGTCCCTGAGTTGCAGTAAGGCATGTGAAGTCCTGGCACGCAGGAGGCGCGGAGTAGATACTGTCTTGTCTTTGCCCCACGCGATTAGCTCCCACGCCTAGGCCCGGGCCCAGCCGAGTGGCTCGGAACCAAGGCTCCCTGGTGTCAGTGGACGTGCTGGTGTGTGCATCAACTGCCTCGGGACGTGTGCCGGTGCGTGTGTGTGCGTGCCTGTATGGACGTGTGTGTTCTGTGTATACACATGTATGTATGCATGTGTGTCAGCGGGTGGGGAGCAGGGGAGGCATGGCACAGGTAGCTGCTTTATCTCTCTGTCAAGTCGGCGACCCTGAGACTGTGGCCATCTTTTTCGTCTTGGGGCTTTCTCCCGTTCGTTTCATTTTCCTAGAACTAAAATAGACCCTCACAAGAAGTATTTGTATTCTGAACTGTTTGGTAAGAAAGTTGAAGCTACTGCTGAAGGTTTTTCTTTGAATAGCGTTTTTAGAAATGTCAGTTAATTTAATTAAAGATTTAAATGATTGGAATAGAAAGCAAGTTTATTTTTCTTATAACCCAACTGGTAGTTTTTAAATAAAGCCACTAGAATCTATTGTTTCAGATGCCAAAACTGGACCAAGCTATTTTAGTAAAATAAATATATCCTTTCTGAATTGTCAAAAGGCAGATTTCTCAAATATTTATGTGGGCTGGTGCTCCGTCTTGTTTTACATTTAAAAGACGAGATTCATTGTCACTGGTGGGAAGCTGGGCCCAGGCTGGGCTCCGGCTCTCGGGTCGGGTCGGGTCAGAGGTGACTTGGGGCGGAGTCAGCAGGTGTGGTCCTCGCACCTGGGTGAGGACTGTGCGCCCTAGCGTCTGGGCCAGGGAGCGTGGAGGCGCTGCCGTCTCCAGGGAGTGCCTCGGCAGTGACCGTGCAGCCCTGGTCCTCCCTGCCCCGGAGGGGTCCTCTGTTCCCACGACAATGGCTGTGTTAGTCAGACTTGCTGCAGGCTGTGTTTCTTCAAGAAGCTCGGGCTTCTTGCTGGTCAGATGACCACACACCTGAGACTCACAGCATGAAGGAAGTTAGGTTGTAGACAGGTTATAAAATGCCTTGCAAAATTTTGAGGTGTTTGAAGACACTTTCTGGACAATTTCCTACATGACCAGAGATGTTTAAGCCATTATTTTCCGGAGTGATAGGGAAGGAAAATAGTTAATTTTTAGACTAATTTATTTTTTGGGGGGAGCAGTATTCCCTGAAATAATAACTTCTGTAGGAATTTAAAATGCCATGTTTCCTCCTCCAGAATGTCCTGGTAATACTCCTGGAGGCCCCTCTGCCAGCTCTGGGGCTGGGCGTTCATCCGTGGCCACGTGTCAGCAGGGGACTGGGCGAGGAAACAGCCCTCGCGGGCCCGCAGAGCCCGTTGCAGTGGCCACGCGCGCCCTCCCGCTCACGGTGGCCAGCCGGTCGCTTCCTCACTGAGCCCGTCCGGCCCTTTCCATGTTCTCCTCTGCAGCACAGCTCGCAGAGATCATCCGTGAAGCCTGGGGAGTTTCTGATCGGCCTGAGGATGGTCATTCTTTACGTAAAAATGAGGCTTGGCTTTCCTTTGTGAACGCTTTCATTCATTTAACTTGGTGTTTTGCCTTCCTAAGAATTAAGTTTAATAGATGAGGTCGCTTTTTCGTTCCTTCCTCCTGGATCAGTTTGACAGTGTCTGCCTTTACCCACGTGTGACCCCGCTGTGTGCATGGGATGGCGTGGCGTGGCCCCGCCTTTCTCGGTTGTCGCTGGAGCTGGGAGGCTGAGGCTGTCCGGGGTGGCGTCTGCAAGGAAGGTGGCCCTTGCTCTGGCGCATCGCTGTTGGAGCAGTAGGGCCAGGTCTGGGGCTTGGACAGGTGGGGCGCTCCTTGCCCCGGCCAGAGAGCCGAGGCCCCCTTGCTGGGGGCTGGCAGGACTCTGTCCCTGACCCCCAACCCCCAGCCCCGCAGCCTCTGGTTCTGTCATGGTGCATGTGCGAGGGCTCTGGCAAAGAGGATGCTTCCGGGGCTGGGGAGCCGAGGAGGGGGCGCGTGTGCGGGCAGCCCCCGGGGAAGCCGGCTCTCAGTTGGAGTCAGTGATGGAGAAGCCGAGCCGGCCTCGCTCTTGGACGGAACGGCCATCCCGCCACCTCCACGCACGCTCAGCGTCACTTTGATGAGATGTTGACTCGCGGTTTGGAAAATGATGCTGAGCTCCTGCCCAGCGTTTACTTTGCTTTAAAGATATTATCTAAATGCGGGAGCCGGCCTTGTAGAATTCATGGTACTTGTTTCTGAGAAAAGCGCAAGGCTCTCTGGCCCCGTGGCAGTGGGGTAGAGCCTGCAGCCCACTGTCCTTGAGTCCAACGCGGCGCCCCTCCTGCAGCGGCCTGCCCCTCCCCCCCCACTCCCCTCCCTGTCCCTCCCTCTATTTGCTTGTGGCTTGATGGCCGCAGGTGGAGGGAGGGTGGTCCTTCCACTCTGTTTGGTGTAATTAAGCCTGTGATCCTACATTCACTGAGGGTTTAGATCCTGAGCACTAGACCCAGTGCCAGGCGTAGAGTTGCCCAGTGTCTGTAGGTAAACTAATGAACTCTCCAGGAGTTGGAGCCTTCTTGGCATTCCAGGGATGACTGAGAGACAGCGCCTCTAAAAGTCGCTTTCCATCCACGTTTAGATCACGTGTCCACTAGCTTTCCTGTAGGCAGGTGAACGTAACAGGTGGCTGCTGGCGAGAAAACTGCACGTATCCGAGCCTGTGCTCGTAGCTCTACCTCTTCACTTCTAAACCATCTGTGTTCCTGAGAAATGATTCTTCTGACTTACCTCTGATTCCGAGTTCCAAAAATCAGATCTGTGATTTGTTCTTTGTCCTTAGCTGAAGTCAGGAGCTCAGCCTCCCTGGCCCTTCCAGCGGCCGCCCCGGCCCTTCCAGCGGCCGCCCCGGCCCATCGGTGACGTGGTCGTCCTGACGGGGTTGCAGAGCCTCGCCTGGTGTCGGAGGATGTCCTGTGATTCAGGAGCCCGGCCGGGAGCGGCTGCCTGTGGCGTGGCAGGGCAGGGGGTGCGAGTCACAGACCGGCTGGCCTCTGGGCCTCGTGCTCTGTTCCAGGCCTGCGGCAAAGCCAGGCGGGGCTGGCTGCCCTTGTGGGGCCTTCTTTGCGCGTAGAGGCCAGAATGTAAATATCAGGACATTTCAAAACAAATCGCGTGAGAAATCTTGAAACAGTGATGACCCTGTTGGCTGGGACACTGCTTAAAGGCCCGCCGGCCTCGGCAGGAAGCTGCGTCCCTCTTAGAGGCTCTAACTCTCCCCCTTATCGCCGCCCGGCGCTGGTGCTTTCAGGGGCCGCCGCTCACACCTTAACTTGCCTCCACGTTAGGATCAGAAGGGAGCGTTTGGAGAGCGGCCAGATGGTCAGGCGAGTCAAGAGTCCTCTTGATTGGTGATCATACGTGGAGTTTCCTTTTGCCAAAGGATAAGGCTTTTTAAAGTTGATGTTTGTTTGACAGCCGTCAAGCCCTTTCACACACGTGGTCGATCCTGCAACTCCTGGGAGGCTGTGACAGAGAGGGAGGCTGGGTGGGGGACGCTGGCCCACTTGGTCAGGGTGTAGCCGGGAGGCCCAGTGCCCACTGTGTGCCTCCCAAATCGTCTCTCATCCCAGACGGAGCTGGCGGGGCGCCGGTGGGCTCGCAGACAGGGGTCTCCCGCCTCTCCTCCTGGGCGGGAGGAGCGCCAGCTGCCCTGTTCCTCTCTGTGGGCCCCCTGCCTGTCCTGGGGACGGCCCGGGCCGCCTTGCTGGAGGTAGAGAGAGCGGGGGCAGTGGCCGGAGCTCACCGAGACCCCTCTCTCTCGCAGAGGACTACCCCAATGGCACGTGGCTGGGGGACGAGAACAACCCCGAGATGCGGGTGCGCTGCGCCATCATCCCCTCCGACATGCTGCACATCAGCACCAACTGCCGCACGGCCGAGAAGATGGCGCTCACGCTGCTGGACTACCTCTTCCACCGCGAGGTGCAGGCCGTCTCCAACCTCTCGGGCCAGGGCAAGCACGGCAAGAAGCAGCTCGACCCCCTCACCATCTACGGCATCCGCTGTGAGTGTCTGCCGCCACCCCCGTGCCGGCCGCGGGAGGGCTCCGCTGGGGGTGGGACCATGCTGTCGGGGGGAGGGGGCTCTGGGTCAGACCTGGGCACGGGGCCAAGAGAGCCCTTTGCGGATTGAACGTTTCCTTTAGGAAGGGCTGCCCAGGGCACAGGCAGGCCACCCGCCTCGTCCCTGTCCTAGAGGGCTGGGGTTCTGGGCTGCCGTCGCTGGTGGGGCCGGGGACCTCGTCATAGGGATCTGGATCCCCCGCGTGGCTGCGAGGGTGGCGCAGGCTGGAGTCTGTCGTGACGGCATCGTCCGGGTGACATCTGGAAGGGGTGCGGCGTGCCCGCTTCCTGCTCGTCAGCACCCGCTGGCCTGGTTTCACCCGAGAGCCCGCCCGACCCAGAAGGCGTTCGACACGGCTTACGATAAAGACGCGCGGGAAGCACGTAGGCTTCCGGCAGGAGGGTTAGGTGGTCACGTCTGACGATAAAGACGCGCGAGAAGCACGTAGGCTTCCAGCAGGAGGGTTAGGTGGTCACGTCTGAAAAACCTGGTGCTGGAGAGTCTGAGTTAGCGAAACGGAATGGAAAACCAATTACCCAGAGTTCACTATCTCACAATAGAGAAGGGGTGCCACCCTGCCCGGGGGACCTCGTTGCTCACACAGAGCTCTGACGGCGATCCCCGGGCCTTTGGGTGCAGACGGTGAGAAGCAGGGAGAGGAGCTCTCCGGGAGCCTTCATGCACAGGCGGAGTTGTCTTTCCTGTGTCTGCACACTGACCTTGGTGGAAGTTGGGGGGTGGCCTGGCTGCGGGTTTTCCTGACAGGTACTCAGCTGGGCGGCCAGTCCCTGCCTCACCCCAGGGGGCTCGTCCTCCTGGTCCCCAGCTCATGGCCCCGGCCATTCCGAGTCCCCGTGTGTGTCTCGGAGGCTGGGAATCATGTGGGGTGGCTCCTGAGAACCCACCCGTGGGACGCGCTGAGGTCAGCCCTCGGGGGGGAAGAAAGCCGGGCACGGCGGGCAGAGCCCAGGCCAACTGACAGGTGCGTAAGGGCTTTGCCGTCTGTGTTCTAGGCTTTGTGAGGCCTGGGTCGTACCTGCCGGGCTCTGAAAGCAGCCGCTCTCACAATGCGGACGGATCGGCGTGACCGTGTTCCAAAAGAATGTTGCTTTCATGGCAGGCAGCGCCCCCGCTCTAGAGCACGGTGCCTGCCGGGACCCTCATGGCATGCCGGCTGATGCCAGGGGTTCTGGAATCATGAGCCGGAATGTCAGGCTTGGACTGAGGGTCACCTGGGGGCCGCCATGGCTGCTGCGTGTTGCAGGGGTCCCCGGTTCTCTAGGCAGCGGGGTGGTCGTGCTTACAGTGGAGCCAGCGGTGGGCCGGAGGGTGTTTTGGTGCGAGGCCGGCCTGCCTGCGTTCTCTCGGAGGCTCCTGTGCCTGGGAGAAGGGTGGGGCGAGTCTGGGGGCTGGCTGGGAGCCGTGCGGACAGCTGCTGTGTATGCGCAGCCCAGTCGCCCTGTACATTTAGTGTACAGTTGTTCCTTTTTCCTTTTTTTCTAATGTTTTGGTCTCGCCGTGCAGCATGTGGGATCTCAGGTCCCCAGCCAGTGATCGAACCCATGCCTTCTGCATTGCAAGCGCAGAGTCTTAACCACTGGACCACCAGGGAAGTCCCTACAGTTTCTTTTTCAGGCAGGGGAAGCCTGTGGGTGTCCTTAAAATAGAGGAATTCCTGACCCAGAGAATACATCTGCCACCGCCAGCCACGCCCACCTCGCTGTGGACAAGACTGGACTTACATTTTTCTTTTCTGAGTGTCAGAAGTATTTTCCTCCCTTTCTTTCTTAAGGGAAAAAGCCCAGCATTTTGAAACACATAGGCGCTTCTTCTAGAGAGGGAACAAGGTTACTGAGGGAGAGCGAAGTCGTGTGGGATGCCACCTTCTTCAGGGTTCCCAAGGGTTGACGGGCCTCCCAGAAATTTGGATAACCAGCCATGTAGTTCGTGTGCTCTGTGCAAAAGTAGATCATTATCGTAACTGAAAAAAAATTGGCCACGCTTTCATGAGGCATGTGACCTAAGAATGGAGCAGTTGCCTTTTCCCCCTCGAATTGAGAATGTTATAGCCTTAGTTCTTAGGGTTTTTACTGGTGGGTCACATAGGTGTCTGCTTAGGCCGCGGGACACGCCTGGCTGATCTGATGAGAACAGAGAGGAGGTGGATGCGCTCCCCAGCGTCGACAGGTCCTTGAAGACGTCTGTGAGGGGGGCGCTGACGTGGTGAGATCCCACGAGCCCCCCAGCAGCTTGGGCACAGATGGAGGAGTCACATGTCCACGGAGGACTGTCGTCGGGTCAGCCCCCCCGGGGCAGAGATGGTGTTGCTGCCGGGGCTTCGCTCGCGTGTGGCGGGCTGCCCGAGTGGCCCGGGGCTGCCGTACCGAGCTCCGCCGACAACACGGTGCCCTGTCCGGGTCTGGGGCCCCGGGGCTGAGACCAGGGCGCCGGCAGGGCCACGCTGCCTCACAGGGCTACGGATGAGTCTGCCTTGCCTCTGGCAGAGGCCCACAGCTTGTGGCCTTTGTGGGCTGTAGCAGCGTAACTCCAGTCTCTGTGTCCGTCATCACACGGCCATCTGGTCCTGTGTGTGTGTCTGTGTGTCTCCTCTCCTGAGGGCAACAGTCATCCTGCACTTAGAGCGCACTGTACTCCAGTGTGACTGCATCTGCAGTTAATTAATCACGTCTGCAGAGACCCTGTGTCCAAGGGAGGTCACGTTCCCAGGTCCTGGAACGGACATGAATTTTGGGGGACACTTCAGCACAGTACGCAGGGCCTGGGTTCTTTGGAACCTGGGTGATCAGGCTCCTCTGGGCCCAGCATGTGTCTCTGGGAGCTGGGAGGAAGTCGTGGTTCATGTGGGCTGGTGGTGGGACGGAGCCTGTGAGAATGGACGCAAGTGGGCGCCCTGGCTCACAGCAACCTTGGAGCTGCCGACCGCGGCCACCGGGCTCTCCTCATCACCGAAGAGCGGCTTCACTCATGGTGCTGTGCCCAGTGCCTGCGGCTCCCGTGTGTGGGGAGAGGGGGCCAGCCTGGCTCTGTGGCCGGGACGCTGGACTCCGCGGTGCCCACATGGGAGCTGAGACCGTCACGTGAAGAAGTCAGTTGCCAGCACTCAGGTTTCTGCTTCTCTCTCCCTGGAACTCGAGGCTATGTTAGCAGTGCCCTGGTTTTCATTCCGTTGTGACCGATAAGCCCCACGCCACCCCACACCCCTCCCTGAGTACACAGGGTTCCAAGCCCCGCGCCTTTTTTCTTGTCTGTCCTTCCTGCGGTGCATCTCAGCCCCTCGTGGGGCTCACATGAGAGCCGGGAACCACCAGTGTCAGCGATGGGCGTCCTGGAAAGGGGGAGGTGGTCAGCAGGGACGGGGACCCGCTCAGATCTTCGGGGGGCGCCCGGGCAGCACTTGGGAGCAGCGCATTAGTCTCCCCGGGCTGCTGGGGGGCTACGTGGCTCGTCTGCGCACGGGCGCCCGCTGCTGTCTGGGCAGAGGGAGGCGCTGCTGGGCTTTCTGTGGCCGTTTCTTCTCCACTTGGGTGGGCGCCGGAGGCCCGAATTTTAAGGCTGGTTCTCACTCCTCACTGATAACTCGGTTTGGAGCTGAAGTGAGGAGATTGACGTTCTTATTTCATGAGGTTTTCTTAGGAGCATCAAATGACTTGAGATAAAATGCTTCAACAAGTGTGAAATACCAGTTAATTCAAAGTAATCTTTTTATCACTCATTGTAAGAGGTTCCTCCTCCTTTCACTCAGCTGAGGTTGCTCAGGGCTGGCAGAAAAGTTGAAGAACGCTTTTAGCAAAGTCAGAGGAAGCCCACCCATGAGGCTCCGGGGGCGGAGCCGAACCCCCTGTGCCCTCCTGCAGCACGGCTCTCGGTGGGGGAGGATCGGTGCTGCTGGCTCCTTCCTTAGTGTTTCCTGGCAGCTTCCCGGGGGCATTTGCCATTGAGCTGGAGTCTTGAGTCACTGTTGGAAGGAACTATGTAATAAGATGTCTTAGAAGAATTTGAAAATGGCTAACGCACAACTCTACGAATGTACGTTTTTTCTTCGAAGGATGTAAGCCAGGTTTTGAACTGGCAGATTGGTTTTTACAAAGTTGAATTTAAGTATTAATGTTTTCACTCATTTTTTATGCTTGTGTGCCCACGTGTGTGTTGTATATATTCTCTTCTATTACTAGCAAGCTTTGGAATTTTGCATGATCTCATTAATCCCTAGAGGCATTCGGAAGGTGTTTTCCTTGCGTGGGAAGGCATGAGGGGATCTGAGGGTGGCCTGCAGGGTGTCCTTCTGTATTGGAGCAGGTGCCTAATGAGGTGGTTGGACACGTGTGGTCGCCACTTCTTCGCCTGTATTCGGGCTTCTCTGTAGCTGTAGTGGGTAGTTGGCTCCTCCTGTGACTGTAGAGCTGTAGTTAGTGGTCGGGTCCCCTTGTGACTCTACGGTTCTTGTTCTCGTAGTTGGGCTCAGTCAGTATTTGCGTTCTGTGGTAACTACAGTGGGTAGTTGGGTCCTCTTGTCACTCATGTGGGTAACTGGCCGGAACTTCGTGAGCCCCGCCCTGCATCTAGAGCCGTCTCAGTAAATATTGCGATGACTCAGTTAGCTTAGAGATGACCTGGACACCAGCGAAGAGGCGCCGCCTCCTTTACGTGCTTCCTTTTCTGCAGAAGGACAAAGTGGGGCCGAGACTACCTTGCAGTTGATCTTCTCTGATCCTGTAAACCCTGCCCCCTCCTTAACCCAATTTCTTTTTATCAAGGTGACAGGCGTTTTGGTTGTCTTTCTGTTTGGAGTCAAAAATGCCTTAGGCTATGTTCACAGAAAAGTTAAGTGTCTTTCCAAGACAAAAGAAACTTAATACAGTAGTTAAGAAAACAGAGACTTCCTTTGTTTTGATTATTCCTAGGGTCTGTGCTCTCCACAGAGCAGAGTTTAGGGATTGGGCATCCAATGATCTCTCAGCAGCCGCTCCAAGCTGGGTGCTCTTAGTAGCCAAAACAGCAAGTTTTCCAGCTGAATCTTTTTTTTTTTTTTTTTTTTTGCGGTACGCGGGCCTCTCACTGTTGTGGCCTCTCCTGTTGCGGAGCACAGGCTCCGGACGCGCAGGCTCAGCGGCCATGGCTCATGGGCCCAGCTGCTCCTCGGCATGTAGGATCTTCCCGGACCGGGGCACGAACCCGTGTCCCCTGCACTGGCAGGCGGACTCTCAACTACTGCGCCACCAGGGAAGCCCCGAGCTGAATCTTTTTATTATTAAATTTTTGAATTTCATGCATTTATTTTCCCGTTAATCAGCAAAGCTTCATGACCAGCTAGAAAGGAGGTCACCCTGTTGAAAAGCATTTTTTGTGGTTCCCGTGTTCCTGACCGTTACTCCCTGTTGATTCAGCACAAGGAAGAAGTGAAGTGGTCCATGAGAGCTGGGCGGGCTGGCAGGGAGGGGCCTCCATCTGCCACCCGGTTTCCTCCTTGCTGGTAAGTGGTCTCAGATGCCCACATCCCGCACTGAGAGTTCGCCGTGGCGCAGGTGCGGACAGCGAGGGTGCCAGAGGGCTGCCTTGCCCTCTGCGGCCAGCGGTCCAGTGGAAGTGATGCCCACTCGGCTGGGCCGGGCTGGGCATGCGGTGGGGCCCCAGGGAGTGGATTATGTCCGCCCTTAGGGAGTCTCATTCTGATGGAGGGAGGCAGACGGAGAGGCAAGGGAAGTTCCGTAGGCCTCAGACTCAAGTAGCAGTGGAAGAAAGTCTTCAGCTGAGTTGTAACCAGCATTTGGGCAACAAATGTGTGAGCATCTGTCGTGTGCCTGGACGTTCTGGGTTCTCGGCAGGCGTGGACGAGGAGAGCAAAGAGCCCCGTGTTTGTGGGGGAAGCGGTGTAAACGCCATCAGCATCTAAGTTCTCTAAAGTGTTAGAGCGCCGGGACGGGGCTGGTGGTGGGAGGATTCTGGGGTGAAGTGGGCTGGTTGAGGGGAGGGTTACTGAGCTCTCGCTGGAGCCCAGACTTGAGAGGAGGGAAGGAGGCAGCCAGGCAGGCATGAGCAAGGAGGAACGAGCTGGCGTTCCATCTCGGCCTCAGAACCCTAGAGGCCGTGCGTGAAATCAGGGTGGACCGTTGGAGTGCGGGGCATCCAGGACGCTTGTGCGAACCCTCACCTCCAGCTTGTTGCCCGACTCCATCTGGTGGGGGTGGATCACGTCAGATAGGTTAAAGCTGAATAAATGAGAAGCGATCATTGCACACGACAGGCAGGCCTGAGGCGGCTCTCGCCCGTCAAGCTTCCTGTTGGCGCTGCGCCCTGACCGCCAGCCGCGCAGAAGGCCCGTGCCTCACAGAGCCTCCCCTTGGGTGTGTTCTTGCAGGTCACCTCTTCTATAAATTTGGAATCACGGAATCCGACTGGTATCGAATCAAACAGAGCATCGACTCCAAATGTCGGACGGCCTGGCGGCGAAAACAGCGAGGCCAGAGCCTGGCCGTCAAGAGCTTCTCCAGGAGAACCCCGTCCTCGTCCTCGTACGGCGCCTCAGGTACGACGCAGGGCGGCCCAGGCAGGTGGCCCCAGGGACGGTCAGAGTGAGAACGGTGGTTCTGTGCCTGCACGTGCCTTGTGAGAGGCGGGGAGCTTCGGCCGGACCCTGAGAGGCTCCCAGGGCAGCTGTCTAGGTGGAGGGCATCCTGGGCTCAGCAGCAGCAGGACCTGGGCCAGGACCACCTCGCACGCCGCCCTGAGCACTGCTCCCTCTGCCTGGTGAGCCAGCACGTCGCTGGCTCACTGTCACTGTCACCATCTGCCTGGCGTCTGCAGGCGAAGGCTGGGGTGCAGCCTAAGTCGTGCTCGTTACTGCCATGGTGAGGACGCAGCCTCGGTTATGCTCACCCTCAAGAACGGGAAGCTCTTAGGCTTTCTTTTCAGGCATTGAAAGGACAGCTGGGAAAGTTCACCAGGAGTGACAAGGAGACCAGCATCGCTTGTCACTGAAGATGTCTCAAAATGTTGTAACAGAAATGGTCTTTTAACGCCCGCGGACGGTCCCTGGGCAGTGGCTCTCAGACCTGAGCCCTGACCGGGGTCGGGACCGGGATTCAGGGGCAGCAGCGGGCAGGGTGGGCGGAGCTCTCGTTCTGGAAGCGCTGCGGTGACAAACCAGGTCACCTGGAGTCCTTGCAGGGTTACGAATCTTGCTGAGCCAGACCTCAGGAAGCGGTTTTCCTCGGTGGTTTGCTGGTTATCAGATACTCGGCCTTAGCTTGCCACGTGAACCATGCAAGCTGGGGGTAGCCGACTCTCGTGGGCCAGACAGGTCATGCCCTGAGCAGAGCTTCTGTGCGGGGCCTGCATTGAAGAGTCTCTCGGTGAGGAGCCCGGCCTTTCTGTCACCACCAGGATTCTGTCCCGGGAACTTAGGTAGCAGTTGGGGCCCCGCTGGGGGTGGCTCCTTGCCGAACCGGGCTGGCTCTGTGGTCCTAAGAGGGTAGGCGTGGGGACCGTGGCCCCAAGGACGCAGGTTTCAGTGTGGCCGGGGATCTGCCGTCTTACCCCGGGGCCACCTGGTCAGCACGGCCGTGCTCAGTGCCTGTCCCCATCAGATGAGGTGGGCTGTGGAACCCGCGTCCCCGCCTCTGGAGGTGCCCGGGACACGTGACGAGCTGACTTGCAGGCGGGCCCCTCGGGATTGTGTTCAGTTCAGATCCTGCCTCTGGGTGGTGGTCTGAGGCTCGGCGTTGCCAGCCAGCAGCTGCGTGAGGCCCCAAGCCTGTCCGGCCCACGTTGGAGCAGGAGGGTGCTGGGTCCTGAAGCTGTGCTTGGACTGCTGGGCTGGCCACCTTGCATCCGCTTCTGACCTTGTGGTTGGGGACTCAGGTGGCCTTTGCCCCTGAGGTCTGATCTCCATCACAGGCTGGTGATGTCATGCTTTGTCTTTACCCTCGCTCACTTGTTGTTTTGTTTTTCTTCCAGTTATCAGTGTTTCTTTCAGTTGAATGACAGTAATTCAGTTTAATGGTAGTTGCGTGTCTTTAGTTCCTCTGTTTTTCTGTCCATAAACGTGTCAGGGTTCCTCCTAAGAGGCTGTGGGTTTTGTTTTGTTTTTCTTTTTCTTTTTGGCTGCGTTGGGTCTTCGTTGCTGCGTGCGGGCTTTCTCTAGTTGCGGCGAGCGGGAGCTACTCTTCGTTGCGGTGCGCGGGCTTCTCATTGCGGTGGCTTCTCTTGCTGTGGAGCACGGGCTCTAGGCACGTGGACTTCAGTAGTTGTGGCGCACGGGCTCAGTAGTTGTGGTGCACGGGCTTAGTTGGCAGGCGGATTCTTAACCACTGCACTACCAGGGAGGTCCCCAGGCTGTGGGTCTGGCAACTCTCAGTGCTGCTCTTGGTTCCGTGGCCTCTTGCGGGTGGTGAATGGCCACCATGAGGGGCTCTTCAGTGCTGTGGCCGGGCAGGCGCTGAGCCTCAGGACGTGTGGCTCGGGATGGACTCTGGCCGGCCTCAGTGGCTTGGGAAGGTCCGCTGGCTGCAGCAGCACCGTCCATGGCCAGAGTGACGGGTGCTTTCTCAGGAGCAGGGGGCCCTCTGTGTCGTCCTGATGGGCCTCGGAGGACGGACACCATGGTGCCACCCGGCACCTTGCTGCCTCTGCCCACCTGGGTCTCTGTGCCTGGGTTGTGCAGCAGGGGGCACTGCGTCGGGGCGGGGGTCAAGGTGTGCCTTTTTAAGGAGCATTTGAGGGAGGCCGGCACCATCGCACCCCCTTTGCCTCAGGTGCTGTGTGTCTGGGAAGGACGGGGGGCGAGTTCCGGGCTCTGGGACGGGTCTGGACTGCTCTTGGGCGGTGCGCTGGAAGCCAGAGGGTGGCCCCTCCTCGGGCACTGGAGCCCTGGGAGTTTTGAGAGGAGCACGGACCACGTTCTTCTTTCATCAAACTCTTGGAAGTACGTTGTTCTGTAACTTTCTGTTGACTGGATCTTTTTCTACTTTAACGTACTGCCTACTTGGCCCAAACTCGATACAGCACAGGGTGGTTGGTTAAAGGGCCTCTGGGATTTCGTCCTCGTCCTTCCTGCGGACTCGCGGCCTGACCCAGCGAATCTGCTCCTTAAGGCTGTTCTGGTGACAGACGTAATCCAGGAACATGTAATTTAGCCAGGATTCCGTTAATTTGGAATTGGTAGTAATTCCAGCTGGAGTTGCCGTGTTCTCTTTTGAAGTATCAGCAGACAAATGCTACAAGTGAGATTCTGAGCCGAGGCTGGTCTATTTAAAGCTGAATTAGTACTGCCAATTTGAACACAGAACACAACGTCACTGGTTTTCAAGGGATTTTAAAAATATCGGTTTATTAAAACGTTTGTATCTCACCCTGCTGTCTGGCCACACCATGTGAACTTTCGTATGTGCTTGAGTTTAAGGTGGCTGCATTTTACAGTGTAAACCTCCGCCCCCAGCGCTCCTCCCCACAGCTCTCATTGGGGAGCATCCGTGTAGGGTCCAGAACCTTAGGGTCACAGAGAACCAGCTCCTGACTGTGTGTCTCTCTGGACATGGGGCAGCGCGGCCAGTGGGGCCGAGGCCTTTGAGGGGCTGCCCTTGCCGTGTCACTGCCGGGGGCCGTGGTCCTCCCTCAGCGTGAGTCGTAGCCTGGGGTCACTTGCCGTATCTCTTGGATTATTCTTGACCACAAGCAAGTCACAGATGCAGTTTTTGCACTGCACTTTGATGTCAGTATTGATTGTAAAACATAGATTTAAATTAGTCTTCACGTTGCATAATTAGAGGGAGCTATTGATGACATGGTAAATTCAATAACTTGAATTTCGTAAGTATTAACATCTTAATACTGTTATACTGTAACTTTTTAAAAGGCAGCCAGTGGAATCTATACCATGTCAATTTGATACCCACCATTAAGCTATTAAAAAATGCAGGAAAATTCTTTTTTTCAAGAATCAGACATTTTATCTTTTTTCTCTTTCCATTCATATCAGCATTCTACTTCTCACAGAATTTCATTTTAATGTAATATGGTTTTATCTCTAGAAGTCTTTTTGAGTAATCCATTCTTTAGAACAAAAATACGTATATACATTGAAAATTAAAATCTTTTTGTTTCTGAGTCCTGATGTTCTAAGCGTATAAGAAAATTCTTCTGATTGAGATAGTGTTACAGTTAAAAGTAATACGCAACACATGAAAACAAACGCATCTCATTCTGGGTTGAACATGGAAAGTAAACTGTTACTGCAAGTGTTCCTCTAATTGAGTGGATGGAACTTTTCTCCCAAGTTGCTTTTTTGTTTGTTTATTTACTTTTGGCTGCGTTGGGTCTCCGTTGCTGTGCGCGGGCTTTCTCCAGTTGTGGCGAGCGGGGGCTGTTCTTCGTTGCGGTGCGCGGGCTTCTCATTGCGGTGGCTTCTCTTTGTTGCGGAGCACGGGCTCTAGGCACGTGGGCTTCAGTAGTGGTGGCACATGGGCTCAGTAGCTGTGGCTCCTGGGCTCTAGAGCACAGGCTCAGTAGTTGTGGCGCAAGGGCTTAATTGCTCCACGGCCTGTGGGATCTTCCTGGGCCAGGGCTCGAACCCGTGTCCCCTTCATTGGCAGGCGGATTCTTAACCGCTGCACCCCTGGGGAAGTCCCTCCCTCCCCCAAGTTGCTTTAATTATCCATGGTCCCTGCCTTGCGCCGGTCTGACACAGAGTTTAGTGTGCACTTTTTCCTGTTTTTCGTTTTCCGTTTTTGTCACTATATCTGAGGAGCTTCACTTACGTAGTAGGTGGGAACCATCTGTGTCTGTGGGTCACTGGATCGTTAGACGCTGACTACAGGTGAGAAAGCCCTGCTGTCTAACAGCTGTTGCTCACGACACTGCACGTTGGAAGTCCAGGAACGAAGGCTCTCTCTTCATCTCCGTGGGCCGTGTGGTTGGGGAGAGAGGGCGGCAGAGGTGGGCTCAGCCCCAGGGTGGCAGCTCAGGCTCGTGTGCATCTCCCCGCAGAGACCATGATGAGCACCCCGCCGCCCGCCAGTGAGCTGCAGCAGCCCCCGCCTCAGGCCCTGCACTACGCCCTGGCCAACGCCCAGCAGGTCCAGATCCACCAGATCGGGGAGGACGGACAGGTCCAAGTAGTATGTACTTCTCGCCAGTTTGCCTTCGCGAGTGGAAGGGGAGGGCACGGCTGGGAAGCGGGGGGAGGGGCGCCACGACCAGCTCTCCCTGCACTTCTGGATCCCGCTGACAGCCTGGGATGGGGTCTAAGTAGAAATAGTTAAGGTAGGCCTCCTCCATCTCGTAGACCTCTCTGCCGGCCCCTCGCGGCTCCCCTGCCTGTGCGCTTCTGCATGTCCTCCTGGGAGACATCAAGATGTATCACAGATGTTTTCTCAGTTCAGAAGCATGGGCACCCTTCACTGAGAGGAGAAGAATAACTTCGTTCTGCGGCCAGCCGAGAGAGCTGGTGGCCTGAGTCATTGTGTAGTTTCTTTCGATTGTGTGACGAGTCGCCCTCGTGTGCTGCCGGCCCAGGTGGACGTTCCTCCCGACGCTTCGTGGGAGAGCGGGGCAGGAACTTCCCGGGGATGCTGGGGATGCTGTAGGCACCCAGCCTCCTCGCCGTGGGCCTCGTCGCAGGGCTGCCTCCTGGAGACCTGGTTCTGACCCAGGCGGCCTTGGTTAGATGCTGCACTCAGCACGCTGCCTGGAAAGGGAGGGCTTCCCGAGAGCACTGAGGAGGATTGTGAAGAGTTCTTCTTCTTCCAAGGGAGATGGAACAGTTATAAACAGTGGATTCTTTGTTTAGCTGACAGTCACAAAAGCAGTTACTCTAATCTCGTTAGTAAGGAAGTTCTTTGAAAGAATTCCAGAAGAGATAACTGTGATATAGGGTTTACATAGATGTAGTAAAATGAAAGCAATAGAAAATTCAACAGTAGTTTATTTTCAGGTCCATTTTGATTAAGGTAGAATTTTAAATAAGATAATGGATATTCATTTCATTGAGCTCAGTTAAGGTTTACAGGAATTATTTGTCTGCCTGTATCTACAAACATAAATGCATTTGACTTGGAGTCTGAGACTTTGGAAGCACGTTTATTGTTTACTTCAGCTGTTTAAGTAGTCACGTGTTTCTTTGATTTAAAAAGAGTTGGCTGACGTGTTTTCTGTGTAGACACGTGCACAACTGCCACCCACCCTCCTAGTCACGCTGCTGTGTGGCCTCCAGCACCCCCAGGTCACTAGGGACCCTGTCTGAAAGTCCATGAGGTTTCTGGTCCCTCTGAGTTGATAGTACAATTTAAAAAAAAGCTTGTCAGTTTAGTTTTCTGGAGAATTGTGGTTTCTCCTTTTTCCTGTATGTCCTTCACATTCTTAAATTTGCCTGTTCAGTAACATTTAAAGACGTAACAGATTTTTCCTAGGCCTCGTTGCCCCTTTAAGAATTCCTGCAAAGTATTCTGTTATGTCCTTAAAGTAGAACTTCAAGAGGGTGTTCAGTAAGCTCACACCATGCGTGTGTGATGCTGGCCACTCAGGCCTTAGCTGTCTTTTCTTGAACTGCGAGTGGAGAATCAGGAACAAACGTTTCGGAGAGCGTTTCTTGTTTCTTCTGATGCTTCTTGGTGTCTTCTCTTCTGCGGATCCCACAGGGCCACCTCCACATCGCCCAGGTGCCTCAAGGGGAGCAGGTGCAGATCACGCAGGACAGCGAGGTGAGTCTGGCTGCCAGCCCAGGGCCCGCTCTGTGCCCACGGGCCCTCTGCACTCTGACCTTTGTCCTTTGCGGGGCGCAGGGCTGCAGCCCGCAGATTGGGGCGTGGCTTCCTGCACCTTGTCCCCGCCTGGGAGCAGTGCTCGCCCTGGATATCCCCCCCAACGTGTGCCATGTGGGCGGAGCTGAGGGCCGGGCTTGCTTCCAGCCTCCGGCATCGGCGCCAGGGGCTGTCGGCCCCCGGTCTCAGGAGAGTCCCGGGGAAGCCTGAGACTCGTTTAGCGGTGCCTGCTGGCTCCTCGTGTTCCGGCCGCACCGGGCTGCTTTCCTTAAGTGGGTGACATTAGTGCCCCCGACCTCTCAGTCCCAGCCCCCAGCCCCACAGTCAGAGAGGGAAGAGGTGGGCGGGTTCTGAGGGGACGGCTCCGAGCTGGACAAATCCCTGTGAGTCCTCAGATGACGGGACAGGTGTGTCCATGGGAAGGTGGGGCGCACGGCCAGGTGGGTGCCCGGGGGTTGGGGAGGCTAGCGGGGGCGGGGGGGCGCGGTGAAGGAGAGCAGCGCACAGAGGCTGGGGGGGGGGAGGGGCAGGTCCCGGGAGGCCTGACCGCAGGTAAGGAGTGGGCTTCCCCCTGCCTCCTGCGGGGCCAGCGGACTGGGGGTGGGTGTCTGTGAGCTCACACAGAGCAACATGTTGAGGGGGGGAGTGGGCAGCAAGCTAAGCGCAGGCACCCTCTTGGGGGCAGGGGAGCTTCCCTTCTCCAGGCACAGGTGAGGGGGAGGCCACGGCCACAGAGGGCCGGCCGTCTACCAGCACACCTGCCTTGCTGGCGGCCCTTGAAAGGAAGGAAAATGGTTAGGGTTGGAAAAGGAGAAATCAATGTACGTCCGCTTTTATATTGTTTCTGCTAAAAATTCATTAGAATACTTACTGAATTCCAATTTTTAGTGTCAGTTTTGCCCTTTTTTTTTTTTAGTTTTCTTAACTGAATTCCTCCTCTATATAATCCAGTGGGTTTTTTTTTTTTGCTTCCATTAGGAATTGAATGCACTGAATTAGAAAAAATTGCTGATAGTGTAATGATTACTTTGTAATAAGTTACAATATGCAATTAGTCTTCTTATCACAATGAAACCTTACTTTGTTCACTTAAAAATTAGGTAGTTATTTTGTCAAAATGAGGATATCTGTAAAGAGACATTTAGCGGCGCCTACGAGACTTAAAACAACTATTATTTTTTTTAAACAAATGAAAATGTATTTCCAGCTGGTGAGATCTCAGTAGGCCTGTAGCCTGGTTAGTTGCATCACTCCCATTGATGTCCTGATTGCCGTAATGCTCCATGATGTGTCAGGTGTCCCAAAGGGGAAACTGGGTGATGGGACGCAGGACCTCTCTGTACTACTTTTGGTTCTTCTTGTGAGTCTGAGATTGTTTCAAAGTGAAGAGTTAGAAAAAAGACATTTCCATTTGGGGGTCAGGGTTGGGGGATGGCTACAATGTTTTTTAACTGGTTGTTTTATTTGTTTTTGTAAGAAAAAATAGCACCTGTAAACTCAGCTGAAGTATTGATATTTTGGGATTTTTATGGCTACAAGGGACCGATGTTGGAATTGATGTTAATGGTTTTGCTGGTTTTCACTAATGGCCTGGGGACGTTCCTGCCTCTGTCTCGTGCATCTTGAAGCTGTTGTCTTTGATCACACCCTTATTCATCCATTTTGCAGGGCAATCTACAGATACACCACGTGGGACAAGATGGGCAGGTAAGTGCTCACCTGCGGTGGATCCCAGCGTGGCAGGAGCGGGAGTGTTGGCCCCGGGGACACATGGAGACACACGGGGCTGGGGCATGTGGACGGCGGGGCCCTGGGCTGTTGTGCAGCAGCTGTCTGTTAGAATAAGGCAGGTTTCGTTCCCGTTCATTGCTGTCAAACTCCAACCACTGCCTTTTTTTCTGGTCCTGAGAAAAAGACCCTGAGACCCTCATTGAGCTCACCTGATATGAACTGTCTACAGAGTGAAGCGCCCGGCTGAGGCGTTCTAGGGGTGATTTGCTTTCTAAGGTGGAGTGAAATTGCTGGTGAATTCGAGGATTGACGTTTTCACGTCCTCTTGAAGAGTTTCTGTTAAAGAGATGTTTATAACCTGAATAATTATGAGAGAGTCTGGACGATTTTCCTTTTTTATAGAACGTAACTTAGGAATCATGACCATGGAGCTCAGTCACTATCAAGATAACCATAGACACTATTCTCAGAGCTGAGTGCACGCTCCCTTCTGGCACACTGTGTGCGCTTCCCACGTCCTCGGCGAGGGCCTCGTGTCTGCCACAAACGGTCATGCAGGGTGTGCGTTGCTGGACTCGAAACCAAAGGACGTCACGCCCCGAGGGTTTCCCGTTGAGCCCTCGGAGCGCCTTGGGACGAGTGCGATGTTCAAGTTGGACGTTCTTCGTTGAAAGTGTCATCTTGAACATACTCATGAGGTTCTAATCAAAGTCCTGAAGCAGCATTAATATAGAACAATGGCTGCCTTGGCAAAAGGCCAAAGAGTTGCAGCATTTTAAAAGCTGCGCTGAGTTTTAACCTTGGTTACCCCTCTTCTTTAGCATCCTTCTCAGGGCTCTTACTCCAGGTCGGGAAAGCTGGGGGCTCTTTGTCACTTGAGCCTTGAAACAAAACCTCTGCTTTCCCAGAGTTGTGCTCTGGTTTTCTCTGCTGCTGCTGGTGAGGTGGCCCGAGGTGACCCGGCAGCCTGGGGAGGGGTGTCGCTTCCGGGCAGCTGTGTTTGCTTGCCTTTCCGTTGTGCTTTCGGGGAAGGTGTAGGGAGAGGAGCCCTGTCCTGGACGGTCGGTTACAGCGGGGCACAGCGCAGGGGCGTCGAGCCAGCCTCTGCCAGCGGGAGGGCGGCCTTCTCCATGCTGCAGCGTGGGCCCCGCCGCCCACGTTGGGCCTCACGTACCGCGATCTGCCGCTTGCGTCTGTTGGAGCAGATTAAGGGTTGAGGGGCCCCCCAACCCCCAGGTAGGCCCTGTGAGGCTAGGCACTCAAACCCAGGGTGGAGGGGTGAGGGTGGCAGAGAGGAGAGCATGGGGGTTAGAGGTGAAGCTCCAGTTGGGCTGAGAGCACGGGTTCCGGTTACTGGAAAAATGTCCCAGTCACACTTCTCACCCAGTCCCTGTCGAGTGGAGTGACAGTCATGATCGGATGCTGAGATGCCTCAGCATCTCAGTGAGGCTCGTTCCTCTCCCTGACCCGGACATCGAGTTGGCCGAGTGTAGACAGAACAGTCCCCAGAGGGCTCCATCGGTCAACAAGGCCGCACGCGAGGTTCATGTCGGGTTCACTCTGGCAACACGTGCTTTCTTGGCTTTGCCGCTGTATATGTTAGAGATGTTTGTGAGCTTATGTGGACATTTTTAACCTTAGCAAGATATTTAAAATTGTTAAATGAATTGTACAGGATTAGAATTTGACCAGGTTTGGTGCATTAATTAAGAATGATGTGATTAAAAACATGTTTAGGGAGCAGTAAGTTGTGCCTTGTGTCCCTTCAGCACAGCGCCTGTCCTTCCGCTGAGACCTTTCCGCGCATTGTCCATAAATCCTCGCCTTCAGTCACGCCACAGTTTGCCTTTCATGCCTGGAGTCTGGTTGCCTCCAGGGCTATGCTGGCCTGATGTTCTGCCCCTCGAAATGCAGGCTCTTTTGGGGGGGAAGTGAGGGTCTGGGTTCAAGCAAAAAGATGCTGCTCTTTGAAAGGAGCGGACACGTCCGCCCGCCGTCGTGAGTATGTGGGCAGCAGGGGCCTGGCTGTGGGAACAGTGCCGTTAGCCTCCTGCACTGTTGGCTGGCAGGCAGGCCCCAGAGCTTGTGGACGGAGCAGTCACTTCAGTTGGGCTCATCGCTGGGGAATCGGGTCATGGGACCCCTTTCAGCCGTTAAGGTTTGAATTTGAGCCTCCAAAGTGGGGCCTCTCTGAGTCCAGCCGACAAACACTGGGCCTTGGACCCCAGTGGGTGCTTGGGGAGCTGCTCTCCCTACCCTGTGGTTGCCGGAGGAGCTTTTCCAGGTGAGGAGGGGTTCCCCTCTGGGGGAGAGAGGGGACACCCCAAGCTGGGGCCACTGCTCCCCGGCCGGCTTTCCCTCGTCCCAGCTCACCGGTGGGCCAGGTAAACCCGGCTCTGGCTCCAGGTCTGTCCGCCCTCCTTAGAGCTCAGAGGTGCACTGCGGGTGTGAGTCTGCCTTCGGGCCTTGAGAGGCGGCCTCACCGTTTCCATCCCGACTCCTCCTGGCCGTGCGTGGGGCAGCAGGGTGGGGTGTGGGACAACCCCACCACGTGCAGGGGGCGTTCCCATCTGATGATGTGCATAGGCACGTGGCAGGGCCTCTCTGCCTCCCAGGCACCCACCTTTCCCCACCACTGTGCTGTCTTGTCCACAGAGGGGTTCCGCTCGCTTCCAGGCCCTTAAAGCACCACGATGGGTTCTGTCCTGCTTCAGCTGCTCACGGCCGGGGCCGGGTGACTTTGCAGTAATGCATGACAATTTCGGGGTGCTTTCTCTTCACACCGCAGGACTGTGTACTGTCGATAACTGAGTTTGACCCCAGTCAGCGGGGTCCCCGGTGCTGGCAGCAGCAGGTGCTGGGCTTCAGGGATCTGACCCTTAGGAAGGGCAGGGAAGGCTGAGGGTCATGCTCTCAGACCGGGGACTGGTTCCCATGGAACCACAGCGCCTCCTGGCTTCTCGGAAATCACCTGCGACCCACACGGTGGGCTCTCCGAATTTGCATGGTGAATTTTGGGTAAAAACGTGGCCATGTCTTTAAAGGGAATATCTGGATATCAGTTTAGACAGCAAGAGGCACAGGCTTTGGTTCTGATGAATTGGATGTGGTTGAAGATTTAGCCAACTCAAAATAATCCTTCTGATTTCTCTAATCAGTTGGAGGAAAGGCAAAAGAATCTTCCTCAGTTTAGGAGGTGGCAGTGCAGTTGCAGAACTAAATCTGGAAGTACAGACGTTACAGGGGAGGTGAACTCTGAGAATTGGAGGAAAGAAGTGGCCGAAAGAGGACGTTTGTTCTGGAAATGCTCTCAGTGTCACATTGGCTTCCAGGAGGCAGATGGTGGTGGGGAAGCGGAGGGCATCCTCCTGGCGGGAGGAGGGTGTGGGTCCGGGCAGGGCCTGCTCTGTGGTGGGGCTCTGTGGGGTCACAGGCGCTTCATGTCAAAGCCACACGTCTCCTGGGACGTGTGCGTGTGCTTTATTCTTTCCCTCTCACTTCTCTGAAGGTCACTGTTTTCTTGGGGGTCGGGTTGTCTGAGGCGTCGAAGTGTGTTGTTTCACTTAGAGCTTCACGTCTGGCCCCTCAAGTGAAGACCACTGCAGAGGAGGGAGTGGGTGTGAGGCCGAGCGTGTCTGTCACGTCCACGAGTGTGGTCCCCGCGTTGGGTTCATCTGGGTAATTCAGGAAGATTCCGAGGGGACACATGCAGTGACACAGACGAGGCGCTGCCTCTGCTCCGTCCCCTGGCTGTTCTGCTTTGAGCGTTCTGAGCTGCTCAGCGTGCGTGAGTTCAAGGGAGGCGGGGTGAGCGCCTCACCTCGGCTCGGTCGTGCTCGGGGGACAGCGGCTGGCAGTGAGACCGTAGGATTGGGGACCCGCGCTGACGCTGGCCTTGTGGCACAGAGACATCTGGCTCTGAATCTGCCCCGGTTAGAGCCAGTCCCAAGCCAGTCACCCTTCAGCTGTGTAGACGAACGCATGCCGGGAACCACGAGCTTTATTGTGAGACTGTGAGCACTGGGGCGCGTCCCTGTGCTGCTGGTCTAATCGTCACCTGGTTGCAGCCATCCCTTGCTGTGCGACCCCCGCCCCCACCGCCAAATTTGGGGCCAGAGAAGACAATCAGTTATTATGCTTGGGGCTTCCCTGGTGGCGCAGTGGTTGAGAATCCACCTGCCAATGCAACAGACACGGGTTCGAGCCCTGGTCCGGGAAGATCCCACATGCCGTGGAGCAACTAAGCCCGTGCGCCACAACTACTGAGCCTGCGCTCTAGAGCCTGCAAGCCACAACTACTGAATCCCGCGCGCCACAACTACTGAACCTGCGCTGTAGAGCCCTCGAGCCGCAACTACTGAGCCCGCGTGCCACAGCTACTGAAGCCCGCGCGCCTAGAGCCCGTGCTCCACAATAAAACAAGACACCGCAATGAGAAGCCTGTGCACCGCAACAAAGAGTAGGCCCTGCTCGCCACATCTAGAGAAAATCTTTGCACAGCAATGAAGACCCAACACAGCCAAAAACAAATAAATTTAAAAAAAAAATTATTACCCTTCACCATTCGGGGTTTACCGGGCCCAGCGGGAGGAGGTGGTTCTGCCACGTCATGTCACCGGGTCGTCTGGAGGTTTGGGGCTGCCCTGTCCAAGGGATCCCTCCCGGGCCTGGAGCTGGGCTGTCCCCCCAGCCCCTCGGTTCTCCATGAGGGCTCCCCCAGTGGCCCAGGGCCTCACAGCACGGTGGCAGGGTCCGCGGGGCGGATGTTACCAGCTTTTGAGACCTGGGGTGCAGACGTGCAGGCCCCATGGTGACCACGCTCCTGAGGGCGGTGTGGAATGTCCACGCCGTGGTCTGAATGCACAGGATGTTGCTGGCAAAGAGGGATGTGACATCTCCCGGCATCCATTCTGGGCCCGGCGTGGCTTGACCGTGAGCTCCTGAAGGGCAGGGCCTGTGTCCTTCACGGGGAGGCA